CAACAGCATGCTGCTAAGGTAAGCACAGAGGAAAAGCATGAAGAAGAGGAGATGGGACAGGCACTTCTTGGTGCAGCAGGCAGAGTTCTGGGCTAAAAGCACTACTGGACCCACAACAGCTAGGGAGAGGCCACTGTAGGAGGTGCCGTTCTGGCTGAAGGAGACAGCAGAGAAGATAGAGGTCATGGGCTCAGCTGTAATTCTTTCGAATTTTGGAGACAGAGTCTTGCTGGGACGTTCAGGCTGGCTTTGAACGCACCACCTAGCCCAGGCTCACCCCAAACTCGTGGTCCTCCTGCTTTGGCCTCCCAGTGTTGAACCTACAGGGGTGCACCAGTATGTCTCGTTTTAACTATAGTTCTTCACCTTGTGTTTTGCCAGAGAAACCATGCAGGTTCTCTCTCCTCCTCAGATAGGCATGCTTTGCCTTAATCCTTAAATAGGGTTCTTGTGAGATTTGGTATACAGCAAATTGTGTGCCAAATTCCCTGGAATAGGGCTGCTGAGATGGCTCAGTGGTCTAAAGCACCCACTTAGAACAAGCTAAGCTTAAGCAAAGCACAGGGACCATGGTTCAATCCCCCAGCACCACATACCAGTCAGCCCCACCCCCAGGTGAGCTGAGCTGGCCACACACACACAAAATTAATTAATTAATTAATTAAAAAAAAAACAAATTCCCTGGAGTAGACTGTACTGCTGAAATGTTGTATTCTCAACTATCTTTAATGAGAGTTTTGAAAACCCAGGCTTTCTTATCTTGGAAAGGTGCTTTGTGTTGTCCTTTTACATCCTCTTGGTGCTTCCTTCCATGTGGAGCTACTCCACTGGCTTTGGGCTTCATCTGTCAGAATTAGAAGTTGGCTGGGCCATGCTTGACCTGTAGGACCAAGTATAGCCTTTCTTCTTCTCCTCCTTAGGAAGGATTTCAGAGGACGGGCAGACCCTTTAGCTTTCTGACTGTAGCATATTGAAGACTATATCCAGCCCAGGGAGTAGTTTGCATCAGAGAATAAAGGGGAAGTATGGTTGCAAAAGAAATCAAAGAGTCTTACTTCCTACCCCCACCCAACAGTTGTTAATGAGAGCATTCTCTGCCTTCTCCCTGTGCTCAGAGATAAATAAACACACAAAGGCGGAGCTTCCTACTTAATATTCACCCGCAGTGGAGGAAGAGGGAAGGAATTGGTCCCCAGGGCTACCTACACAAGTAAGCGAGGTCAGCTGTTTCCCAAGACAGCAGCCTCTGAAGCCCTTACATTAAAGCGGGAATTATCCAGCTAAAGAAGCCAAAGTGATTTACAGGAAACTAGGAAGTTGGATTTGCTCACACTATCTCATCCCCTGAAGGTTTTAGCAGCACTGGCAGCCAGCAGTATAGACAGTTTAAAGCACCACCAGAGAAAAACAGTTCTTCCCTGTTTCCCATTGTTAGAAATGCTGGTACTACAGAGCACCTGTGTTTGTGTAACTTGGGCCCAATGGCTGCAGACACCTAAATCTGGCAACAACTAGGATGTTATGTTTAAGATCTCCTGGAGAAGGGTGGCCCACAGTTCTGTTGTGCTTGGGTCACAGAAATATAGGACTCTTGTGGCTAACTACAAATGTCTCAGGCACACAGGGATGCTGCCCAATCTAAGGTGGGCATGATGCCCATGAGTGTGTCCCAGTGTTTCTGGGTAACAGAGGAGTGGAAAAATCTATAGCGATTTATTGTATGTGTATGTCCTTGATAGGATGCTCCACATGTTTTCTTCACTAGGCATACTTCATGCAAGCACTGGTATCTGGTTAAAGTCCTTGTCTCTGCTGTCCGTGAGTTCTCTGTACCATCTGGCATCTTGTGCACTGCCCTAAGAAAATAGAACTTTTAAGAAGGGCTCAAATGTCTACTTTATGAGTTATTTCAGCCCAGAGTTAGCACAGAATAAAGTCTCCCAGAATCTTCTAGGCCCACTTCTTTCTAATGAAGCAATGCAGAGTTCATTTTTTTCTTATAACTTCACCAGGGTGCCAATTATTATTTTACTAGTAGTGATTTGCAACCAATGTAATGAAACCCTCTTATGACCTATGCCCTGCCATAAATGTTCAACTTTTTTCTTTCGTTTTATTTTTTTTAAAGAGAATGGAAAATAGTAAAAAAAAGAAGAAGAAAGTAGAAATGATACAGACTTTGACTAAACAAAATAGTAGAAATTCAACAATGGTTGTTATATTGCATAATGTTGTCTTCAAATTAGTTGTTTAGATTGCCAGATATAAGCAAGCAAAATTGGTAAATAATAATAATTATAAAAGAAAAAAGGAAGGAAAAAAAGAAAAAGGGAAGGAAAAAAATGTAAACATTAACTATTCCTTTCAATAGACCAGCAGAAGTCAGCAGTACAATTACCCAAGCTATTCTGTCTATATACCTAAATATGTCTTTTTCCTTCCCTTCTTTCTTTCTTTTGTCCTTGTCCTCATCCCAGTTATTCCTTCCCCTTGAACATATTCATTCCCTTTTTCAGTATCTATTGTGCCTTTCAGGTTAGGGCTTCCTTATCTACTTGTCTCATGCAAGCTTGACCCTAAAACATTGTTTTTCCTTTTCTTTTAGTAGTATTTTACACTGCTTCCTGAGTTTGTACTTAGAGAATCTTTGTCAAAAAGATTTTCCTTAAAATTCCATACTTCTCAATCAGCCCTCACATCAGTACTAATTAACACCTCCACACACCCATATTACTATCAGTCTGTCTATCTATCTATCTATCTATCTATCTATCTATCTATCTATCTATCTATCATCTATTTACCCATATAACTGTCCAATAAGCATAAATATATAAAAGAATTATTGATATAGATAGATATCAAAATGCTAACAGTAGTAACATTATGGGTGTTGAATATGCCCTTGTTTATGCTTTGGTGTTTCCCAAATATTAAAGGATAAGCATGTCTTACATTTCACAAAAAAAGACAATGTTATGAAATTTTTCTACAGTTAAAAAATAAGTACTACCTCTATTCTCAGCCAACCTAAAATGGCACTATATATATATATATATATATATATATATATATATATATATATATATGGTTGGGGAAGAAGGAAAATGCCATCTCTCCATGATACACCAACATTATGAATTTAAACTCATTTTATATTTGCAACAAGGTCCACTTACCTTGTTGGCCCCAAGAAGATGAAAAAGCCTTCTCTTATGAAAGAAGGAATTCTTGTTTTCCTCATTGTCTTCTGTTGAATGTCTCTATCATGAACAGCAGGTTGAAGTCTTCCAAGAGGGCCAAGAGAGGGCAGGGTGGAAGTGGGGTTGGGGGAACAACAGATGGGATTACAAGCTGGGAGAGTGCAGTTTGAGAGCAGTTATTTATGGATGTGTGGTGCAGGAGCCATGCTCTTGGCATTACGCAGGATGAGTACTTACCTCATATACGCCCTTAAATAAGAGGGACCATAATATCTGCCCTCCTGCTGAAGCGACTGTTGGGAGCTACTTAGAATGAAACTCTGGTTCTCCTAGAGAATTGAAGCATCATTTGGATAAGCCAATACAAAAGAAAACCAAGTAGGTAAGGGGAGTAGAATAATGGGTGCCAGATCCAGAGGTCAGAAGGTCTTTGTTCTGTCTCAGTCGAGGAATAGGAAGGCTGATTTTCTGTTACACCTCTCCTTTCCATGACTGAAATATGATCAGACATTTGTTAACCTCTATTAAATGCTGGGTCCTTTCTTACATGCTATAGATTATGCTGGAGTAGAAGTGGTATTCCTTCCCAAGTAGGAACAATAACTTCTGCCCCTTCCAGTCAAAACTTTTTAAAAAATAAAATGAAAGTACAATAAAAAAATATACTTACCACGAAGATGTTAGACCTGCTTGTTCAACATTAGCATTTCTAGAGTTGAACAAACAGGGTGATTGGTGAGAAAGGACGTTTTAGGTCTACTATATTTCTTCCCTTATAACCATATGCACAATTATGAGCTGTTCACCATGAAGTAACCACTACAGCGAATCTTTCTCACCTTTTTTTTTTTTTTTTCATTCTGTGAAGGTCTTTGAAAGCTCTGATCACTAAATGAATCACTTCCAGTGGAATCAACTCCATTGTTATGGCTCCTTCTATATCTAGAGCCAAAGACCTCTGAAGACCCACCTCACTTCCTCTCCCACATATTCACAGAGACTAGTGCCAATGCTACAGCCTTGGTCACCCTAGTTACCTCTGATGGTCCCCAGAGCCACCCTCTGCTTCTCAAGGCTTCCTTAAGCGAGTATCTCCTCCATTGGGGTCCAGAAGTTCCTATACCAGTAGTCACAGTGTCACTGGTCTTTACTGGAACCTTCCTAATACTGAGGCCTTGCTGGTTATTAGGTTCTGCTTTAAGTTATAGTTCATTTCTGGGCTTGTCTGGCCCTCTTCCTTGAGGATATGAGCCTTAGCTCACTCATCATCATGTACTTAAGAGCTTCTAGTACAGAACTTTGCATAGAGCAGGGCTCTGGAATCCCATAATCCTAGAATACCTAGAGCTAGCAGGACCTCAGAAAGCATTTGGGCTACCTTTCTTATTGCTCAAAATAGGAGACCAAGGCCAAAACAATGAAGATGCTTCACTATTGTTAACAGCTGCTTGTTGCCAACAAGAGCCAGACTGAGAACCAAACCACAAATCCACACCTCACATCTCTTGGCTTTGAGAACAGCATCATTCCATCAGTCACTGGGATTGAATCAAGAGGTCTTTGAAAAGTTCAGATGTATCCTACATGTGGGAGGGCTAGCCCTGTGACCAAAGGCTCCCTGGGAGAACCTGGATCACCCATGGGGGGGGGTGGAATATTATCAGCAGTGATGAGTGTCTCTCCCTCTGTGCCACACACTGTACTAGGTCCCCTACACAAGTTACGTCATTGTCATTGTCTACTCAAAACAACCACCCAATCGCAGAGAACTGACCTCTCTCCCTTTTTCCCTTCTAGGCTAATGGAGGTTGGCAGGATGCTACTACCCCTTCATCAGTGACCTCCCCTACAGAAGGCCCTGGCAGTGTTCACTCTGATACCTCCAACTGATCTCCCAGCAATCGCATCCCGGCTGACCCTGTGCCCCAGTTGGGGCAGGGGCAGGAGGGAGGGTTTCTCTCCCAACGCTGAAGCGGTCAGACTGGAGGTCGAAGCAATCAGCAAACACAATAAGAGTCTCCTTCTCTTCTCTTCTTTGGGATGCTATTTCAGCCAATCTGGACACTTCTTTATACTCTCTTCCCTTTTTTTCTGGGTAGAAGCCACCCTCCCCTGCCTCCAGCTCTCAGCCTGGTTTCCGTCATCTTCCCCGCCTGCTCTCCTCTGTTCTAGCCTCCTGGGGTCCCTGCCCTCATCACATCACTGACGGATATTTTCAACAATTAGAGGAATTTAAAAAGGAAAAAAAATGACAAAGAAAATAATAAAAGTGTTTGTATGTTTTCATGCTGGTGGTTTGAGGAGCCAAATTTGCCTCCCTCGGATCCTTCTCTCCCTCCCGATGTTAACAGGCACTCCTTCTCTGTTTCTCTTGTTATTCTCACTACCTCTTAGCAGGAATATGCCACATTGCCCTCCTCATCCCAGGCCTCCCTGTCTCCTCTTGCTCCTGCCCCCTGGGGACAATCCTGACTGGAACTCTGGCTTCTTTCTTCCCAGCCCCAGGTATTCACTGGGGACTGCTATGGGTGGGCTTCTCCAGGTGCCCTGCTTTCCAGTCTAAGCTCCACTAGGTGGATTCCCAGGCAGGAAGTCAGACAGAAGGGGAGGGCAGGGGGAACAGGAAGGGCAAACTTTTACAGCCTTCCTCCCACTCCTCGTAATGGCTCCTGGTTTCAGAGGCACAGTCTTTGGTGACCACTACACACGTAGGAAGCGACGTTCAAACCCGACTGCAGAGCAGGCCTCAGTGCGGCCTGGTGCTGAAGGCATTGGAGGAGTAGAAGGCTCTGATCCTGAATCCCTCCACTGCCCTTCACAGCTGTGCACACGCATGGCGATACATGCACACATACACCCCTTTCCTGCTTTCCCAAGATGACATGCGCAAATGCATACATTAGCAGTCATAGCACTCTCTCTGGTAAACTCATGAGGGGAATTAGCTCCAAGTGAAGGTCAGTGACACAGAGCAGCAGCATGGCCCCGGGGCTTCTAGGCCCAGCAGGCGCTCCAGCTCACATGTACCAGTGTAGCATGCCCAGGACTTTCTTATGATAAAGGTCATACTTCCATGGTCAACTACGCCTGTCCTTACTACTTTTGGAGCTCTCAGGGAGCCACACACAGTACTTAAAATTGTCTGTAATGGATCTGCTTGTTTTCTTTTTGTTTATTTATAAGGCACATTGTATTAGATACCCAAAGTGTTCTACTGCCTCGAGTTCTTGATCCTGACCTTTTCCTCTGGAGGAAAATGTGGCATAAGAATGTGGTTCAAGTGATCGTTTTGCTAGCTGAAGTTGACAACAGGAGAGGCATGGGGGAGGGCTGATCATGTTTTCCTCGAAATCATCACATTGACTTGTATCCCCTGGGGATATCTAAGAGCAAATAGCATACGCTAGAAAGTTATTGTCTGATGTCACCTGAGCTTACTGCATTCTTCATCACCAATTCTGCCAGCAATAAGGATGGCAGCTCTATCACTTGATTAAGTAAGAGGTGGTCAAATCTTTTGGTGCCTAATTGTCTTCATCTTTAAAGGAGGAAATATTCTGTTTGGCTCACCAACAGGCATGTGAGAGACTGAATAACGCCAACTCATTCATAACCAGTCGGAAAATGTGAAGTTAGGGAAGGCAGCATCCCGAAGATAAACTGGTTTTTGCTCTTTCAAGACAATAAGTGGGGTTTTTTTGTTTTTCTTTCTTTTTTTCTTTTTGTTCTAACTTCTGGTTATCATCTGTACTCTGATGCCACAGCTGTAATGACACAGAGTTGGTTGTTTTAGCTTTGGGGTGGGAGTTGCTTTGGTTTTCGCCTGTTTGTTTTCTTAGGATAGAAGAAAGCTTCCCAACTAGAGCAATAGGACCAGTTCTATTTGTACTTGAGCCCAATAGATAGCCTTCAAAGCAGTTGACACCTATCACATCTTCTGTGCTGAAGGGGCTTCCAGGAGAGTTTAGGAGACCCTCAGGGGTAAGGATGGCCTGCATACTACTGCAGAAATGAACTCTCCTCTTGTGTGCTTGGAGAACATGAGGTTACTACTTCAGAAACAGGATTTGTGTATTTAAAGAAAATTTAAAAAGTTAATATTAGGCAAGCTGCAGTTATGCCTAGATAACCAAGGACACTAGAAAGACCATGCCTACTAACCTATCCTATGTTCATAACAGGGCTGGATGAGTAGGGTGCCTAGAAGGCACACCTTTGTAGCAACTCTAATGATGAGAACCATGGAGAAGTTTGTCTTGGGGACAGGAACATATAGGGAGCAAGCATACAGGAACACAGTTGGATCGCATCACATGACAGGACAAAGTATATGAGAAACACAAAGGTTTCTCTTGGAAACGAAGAATGACTCCTACAGGATTGAATAATTGCCACATTAAGTTAATGAAAACTATCAGAGCAGTGCTACATGTGCACAAGCACCACCCCACCACCCCCAGCAGTTTGCCCTGGTGATCACCTCTCAGAGCATTTTCCCCACCCAGTGCTTTGCTAGGTCCCCTTTGCATCAGCACCGTTCTCACATTTCTGCCCTTCAGGCCCACAGTCACATCCAACATGGCAGCCATAGATCTCTCCACATTATCTGGAGCTCCCAGTGGCAGCTGAAGAGTGGGACAGGAACAGCATGCCTCTGGAAACAATCTCTGGGAATTGGTAGTAGTAGATCATTCCTACAAGACACTAAAATGTGCCCAGGGACTTCTTCATTTTCTAATGAAAATGGGAGTGCTCCCATTTTCCTGACAATTTTCCCTAGGAAATGACAGCAGACCTGGGGTTTGCCCACCTGTAACTCTTCATTGTGTCCTCCTTTCCACCCTAACTCCTCCTTCTGGCGGGAAACTGACTCCTGGGCAGTACATTGGCCAAGTGGCACCTTCTTTAGATTTTTTTTTTTATTTTGCTGTGGTGGTTGTTCTTTATTTGCTACTTGCCTTCTCTCACACCTTGTTCCCCACTTTCCTTCTGCTCTTTATTTTTCTGCCCAGAAAAACCTGACTTCGATACCAAAAAAGATGAAACTACAGAAACTCAAATTTAAAAAAAACTTAAAAAAACAAAAAAATAACTCAACGATGCTTTCAGCTTTATTAACATTTTCCATTGTTTCTTGCGACTTGTGTCTTGTTATTTGTAGTATTGATGACGAACATTTGATAATGAATGTTCTTGTATATTCAGATAAAGAAAAAAAAAAACCAAAAAAGCGGTCTGAATTTAATAGTGTTTATAATAAAAATTTTAAAAATGGTCCTCATAGCACGCAAAACAAGATGGGGATTTCCCCTTCTTTCTGTGACAATATGCATCATTCCTGCATTAGTTTTTAATACCAAACTACCTACATTCATCATTTCCTCCATTTTTCTTTTTATTTTCTTGCATTTGTGAATTAGTTCAAGAATGCTAGAAAAGTGTCGAGTTGTGCACATTCATTTCTTGTTTCACAATGTTTAAAAGTGACAGTAATTCATTTTGTAAACTAAAAAAAAAAAAGGTTGGAATAGTGAGCATAATAGGTACAACCTAACGCATTATTATGTTTATTAACTTTGAGACCCAGAAATAAATTCTTTTCTTTATTCCTGCTCTTAAAATACAAAAAAAAAAAAGTTTTGTTTTATGTTATTTTGGTTTGTTAATGGGGGGCTTTTTTAATTGTCAGGATTATGATCTTGCTATTTTTGTTCATTAAATATGCATACAAGGTGATGTGAAAAGATGACATTGTTAGAATAGGCTGTTTCCTTGTTTGCTTTGCTTCAGAACTCAGCTGAGGTCAAAGACAGAAACAAAACCCATGTTGATGTCACATTGCTGACCTGCATTTCCCGGATACGTGGCACTCCTGCAGTCCCTGAGGAAAACCTATTGGGACTTATTTCCCCTTTTGGCTCCTTAAAAATTCAAAGACTAGTCCAAGGGGTCTTTTTATATTGCAGGAAGCAGTTTTTGCCTTTCTTGATTTGGATTATCACAATCAAGTGTGTTCTTTCTCCCGGACTAATAGCACTATTCCATGAGACCTTTTCCAACCGCAGAGACATCTTCTTCCAAAAGAATCCACAGAAAACACTGGCTCAGTAGACACCGTGAGCATAATAATGTAAATCCGTGGAGCAGATCCTCAGCCTGTCTGCCTGCTGGTGCTCGGTGCTGACTGTGGATGAAGAGGTGGTGAGATATCACCAGACTCCATGCTATAGTTTTTTAATGCCAAAAAGCTAAGCATGAATAATCTGACAGTGTGTGTCTTACTAATCTCCGATCTAGAAGTCTTCCTAAAGCAAATCACAAAGCCAGATTGCTTCAGTGTGTTTTCATTAGTTACAGGAAAGAAGAAAGCAGTATTATCTGGAAGAAACTTAATTTTAGACATCTCTCAATCAAGAAACAGGAGGAAAGAGTGGAGAATTTCACAGCACAACTTTAGGAAGCGTCCCCACACAGATAAAGGACACCTTTAATAACGACCTTTTCACATCGCCTTTACGATTTCAATCCCTAGCTCAAAGATTTCTGCAAACTCTATTATTATTTTGTTAACATTTTTTTTCTTTTGTTAAAAGAAAAATGTCCTCAACCCTTTCTCTCTTGGTACTTCTTTTCTTTCCTTTGGTGTTTTCATTTTGAAGTGCTTTCCTTTGGCTGTTGGTTTTATCTCCCCCCTTTCTCCCCGCTCCCCATTCCTTGTTATTCAGAGTATAAATCTGCAAAGTTCTGCACTGTTTTGGTTTTGAAAGTTTAAGCTTTTCTGCTTTTGTGAGAGCACAGGCTTTCTGTCCCTTTTGATTCCAACTTGAACTTTTGTGTTCTCTAATGATACTAACACGGTGTAGGTTTTACAGTCTCCTAATTTGTACTGGTAATGCATATTCCAAATAAATAGTTTCTTTTGTTGCAAAAAATATACATATATTTGTATTTTGTGCAAATTTCTTCTCTTACATGTTGGCAACTTCTCCCCCACAAGACCCAGGTTAGAGTGGATTTTGGTTGATTGCCCTGATCAACAGTTTTAAGACCTACATACCATGACAGGGACACGAAGACCTCGTGGGCTACCTACCCAATGAAGAAAGGGAAGAGTTTCTTATGGGCAAATATAATCTGTGTTGCAGGGAGGCCCAGCATCATCTTTTCTCTGTCTGTGACAGAGAACCTGAAGTACTCTAGTCTTTGCCTAGCTGCTCTTCCCTTTTCTATGCCTACAGTGATCTGGTCAGAAGGAAATCCTGGGGTCTCCAGCAGACGATTCAGGGGAAGGAATCAAGGTGGCAAGTACCACTCATTCGTACATTCTCAGACATATCCTACCTGTCACTCCAGTGGGTTTGGCATGCACCTGCTTTCTGTTATGCATCCCATAGAGGCATCTCTACCAACAGTCTCTCTGTGCTTCCACTGAGCTCCTGATCTTTGCCGTTACAGAATGGGCATTCCACCTTCCACACCATCAGCTTTCAATCCCATATTACCATCCAAAGAACTGCCTGTCTGGCTGTTGATAGGTTCTTCTTTAAAAGCATTGTTGTTCCTCTCAACAAACATTTCTTTCTCATTCTTCTAGAAGAAAGGAATGCCCCTCTGAATTTAAAAAATTGAGCTCCCAATTACTTAGGTCCTTATCTCCATCACAATTGTACTCCATAGAAACTAGCTAAAAGAAGTTGGGAGCCAGCTGGAGACCAAATGGTCATTTATTAGTAGACAAGCTAAGAATGGCCTAACTAAAAAGCTGACTGCTAACATTTTGGCCCTTTTCAAATATAAATATTGGTACACAAAGTGGGCTCGAACTATTCCTTCTTCTAACTGCATGGAAAATCGTGAACCTATCTTCCCCATCTAGTGCATTCCTTAGAGTAGAACTAAACTGTTGGGAACTTAAACTAAAAGGCACAGTGCCTCAAATATAACATGAGTGTCTATTTCACTTATATGTAGCCTCAGACACACATTGCTGTGTGGGGTACTTCTTCTCGAGGCAGTGATTCAGGAATCAAAATGCCTTCCCTTTTGCAACTCATCCGTGTAGAACTATGTGATCATTTTCATTGAGGTGGCAGAAGGAGAGGAGTTTGAAGAAATCTCATCATTCCTTGCAAATCTTAGCAAAGGCTCTTTGGCTGTTTCCTAAATGTAACTACTGGGGGCTTGACTGAGGACCCAGAAATGTAGTCACTGGCTAGGCAACCACTTTCTGGCAATAGCACTACACACAGTCACTTTGGTTAGCTCGGCTACGTGGGTGTTTAACTGACTGGACATGCTCCAAGCGGGAGCATCTCTAATCGCAGAGCCAGACGCGGCCTCCTTATTCTTCTGAACTGGTCGACGAAGGAGCATCAAGGCGATCAGAGATAGTCACTCCATCATTGACCTTTAAGTGAGAGGGAAAAAAAATGTGTGTTCTATAGAAAGAGAAAATGGAAGAGAAAAAAATCTCCAACATCCTCCAACTGTTTTCCAAACTTAGGCCTTAGCACCAAGCCTGTGGTCAGTGGAGGGGAATACTGTGGTCTGTTCATTGCTCTGACTTTCAGCAAGGGTTTATTTGCTCCCCAGAGGAGCAAGTTTGGTGGCCAGCAGTCACCCTAGAGAATAGACAATAAAATATAATGCAAACTGCAGTAAATATTTAATGTTTTTAAAGTTTATTAGCATAAAAGACACATTATTGTTGATTCCCTCAAGATGTTCCTCCTTGCTTCAAACAGTCCTATCCCACTGTTCTTGCCACTTTCTGAAGCACTTCTGGAAAATCTTCCCTAAGTCTTTAGTTGCAATGTTGTGGCTGCCTCATTGTCCTGAGTAGGTTCGACATGTTGCTCTTCCGTGGTAATTTTGACTTTGAGGTAGAGGCAGAGTTCAAGCATGCTAGATCTGGTTGGTGAGGCCAATGAGAACACACCAATGTTCTTATGAGCCTGAATGAAGCTTGGCAGCAACATTCACCATATTTTTTATCACATCTCATAAAGACAGTTATAGAAAAGATTTTCTAGAATGGCCCTAGAAAGTGGCAACATCAATGGCATATGTGTTCAAAGTGAGAGTAGAATTTTTGAGAGGGATCCATGGCAATGGATCTTTTACTGTAATAATTTTTTAAAAGCAAAATATTCATACAGTACTATGTTTTCCTTGGGCCACATTGATTGTATCTTAGATGTTGTGGGTGCTGTAAGAAAATACCTAACACCATGTACTTTATGAAAAAAAAAAGTGTATATTGCTCACTGTTCAGGAAGTCCAAGACCAGAAAGGTAGCAGATTCAGTGTCTCATTAAGGTGTTTCTAAACACCTCTATATCCTCACATATTGAAAGTGGCAAGAAGTCCCCCTCAGATCTCTTGAAGAGATAATAATCTCATTTCTAAGGTTTCCACCCTCATGACATAATCATGTCTCAAAGGCTTTCCCTTTCAACACCATTACCTGGCACATTAACTTCTAATACTGTGATCGGGGTGGGGTGGCATTAACCTTAAGACCACGGCAGTTCAAAAACTACAAAATCTGATGAGCTTCCACCCTGCCTCTCAACCATGTACTCCTCCATGCCTCTCCTTATAGGTTCCTGCCACATTCCCACTCTGCAAGTAGAAATGCAGCAAAATATTAGGTGCCTGGCAGTTTGATATAAAGAATACAGCCTCTCTTCTGTGTTTGCATCATTCTGTGAAGGGCAGCATAAGAACTCAGTTTTGTTAACTCACATTGTAAATAAGCTGAAGGAGCAGGTTTTAACCTGGTTGTCTGAACCAGACAACCAGACCAAAGAACGGGGATTCACTGTAGCTACTTACTTCTTATGCTTTGAAAAAAAAAAATTAACTGATTGTACATGTAGAAAAGTGGATGTACTGACCTGAGAGGCCAGTGAGATACAATCTATGGCTTCTGTCCTTATGCAGGAACCCAAGGCCACACTAGGCCATGTGGGAAGTGAAAGAGGAGACAATGGCAGTGGAAATGGGCTCACCAAGGGTCACATGATTTGAAGAACAAATGTCCTTGTTTATCTCCCTGGAACACATGAAAGAAACAATTCAATATGGATAGGTCTGGATAGATCAGGAGGGGTTATTCATTACTGCTAGGTTGCACTGTGTCCTAAGCCAAGATTCAGTCTTTTCTCTTTCTGATGTAGCTCAGCAGAGTTAACTGCATGAACGATCGGATAGCATAAAAACCCCAAGTGCTGGATAGTACATTTGAATACAAATCTCCCATTATTAAGTACCCAGAGAGAAATTACCACTCAAAATAAAATCCTCCTCTGTCTTATAAGTTAAATTTCAGATATTTATTTATTTTTTTTTTATTTATTTGATACCATCATTCAAACTCAGGACCATGCACCCGCCAGGTAGGCACTCATGATACTAAGCTATTACCCTGGCCCATAAGTTAAAAAATCAAACAAATGTCAGTCAACAGTTCTGCCCTCTCTGATTTCCTGCTATGTTCTTCCAACAACATGCTTCCACTCCTTTCCCAGAAGTTGTCGGGAGCAGTCTCCTGGAATGGATACCTGTTGTAGGCCGCCAAAGTCCCACTGACTCTCTCCCCCTTGAATCTGTCTAGTATTCCAATTTCTCTAGAAAGTCACTTAGAAAAGCATTCTCCAGTTTTTCATTATGGAACTCGTTTCATGGAAGAGGAATTCTTTGATGGTGGCGGTGAAGTTCCTTTTTTTTATTGGCATATGTTTGGGAGACATATTCATCACATTTCCCAGTGCCAGCACTGCTGCCTCAACTCCAAGTCAAATCATCATGCAGTACCTTCTCATCAGGAGATGAGGAGCCACAGTGAGGATCTCGCGCGTGCAGAGCTCCCAGTGCAGACTTCCTGTTCCTATGAGAATCTATGGTGCCGCTGACCTGATCGAAGGTGGAGCTCAGGCAGTGAAGCAAGCCCCGGGGAGCAGCTATGAGTGCAGATGAAGCTTCACTGGCCCACTGTTCACCCATGGCTGTGAAGCCCAGTTCCCCATGAGTCACAAACAGGTACTAGTGTGCAGACTAGGATGGTAGGATCCTTGACTAAGAAGGCATCTTCACAAAATCCTAGCATCAGCCTGCCCACAGAATTTTTTTAAAAAGCATAAGCAAGTCCAGGTTCCTAGAGCAAAATTAAGTTGCTGGGATGCAAAGCATAGCACCACGCAACTATTACTAATGAATGGCCATAGCCCAGCACATAAAAAAGTGAAAGTGAAATCTCTTTCAGGCTTTACAATACCAGTTCATTACACTTACCTGTCAAGTTGAGAAAAAGTGAGCAACAAGAGGTTCATTTTGTGCCCTGCTTCCTACATCCTAGGGGAAACAAGCCAAGCTTTGTCTTTTGCCTTGTCTTCTCAGAGAATGACCTTTGAAATATTCATGTCTTTGTGAAAATTCAAAAATGTAAAGTAGGCCCTCCCCCTCCACAGGCATCCTTGAGGCTCCTTCTTCCCCTTGGTATCCACTCACATGTTGAAAATGAATCTGTGTTGTCATTCTCCTCTACGCCCCACATGCTTTATCTCCTACGTGTATCCTGCACCACCGTGACTGCGGTTACTTCCTTCTCTGGGGTGCATCCAGACGGTGAGCTCCCCAGAGCTTTCACTTTGTCTCAGCGGGGTTCGTCCTTTGCTTCCTAAGCCCAGGCCATTGGTCACCCCACAGAATCCTGGACTTCTTTCCCCCAGCACCTCTCCTCCTAGAGCCCTACTTTCCCCTGGCCTTGGAGTCCTAGGCCTTGAGTACCTGGTGCTGCTTCAGTGTCTGCAAGACTTTCCTTTTTGCCATCATCTTGATACCTGCCCTAATATTTCTCTTTCTGTTCCCCAACTCCTTTAAGAACAGACTATGTGTCCATCAGCTTTGTATTACTGGGGAAAAAATTACCTG